AGGGTGCGCCCACATGGGGCGGCACTGCCGCTGGGGTCTTCGGTTCGAACTCCCCATGGGGCCACGAACCGTGTGAGGGGTGTGCCGAAATGGGTGGCGGTCCCCTCATGCGGACCCTGCCGCTGGGGCCTTCGGCGGAGATCCCTGTTGGGCCACGAACCGTATGAAGGGTGCACCAAGATGGGGCGGCGCCGCCATGTGGACCCTGCCGCTGGGGCCTTCGGTGGAGCTCCCTATGGGCCTCTAGGGCCACGAACCGTGCGAGGAGTGCGCCCAAATGGGGCGGCGCCGCCATGTGGACGCTGCCGCTGGGACCTTCGGTGGAGCTCCCTATTGGGCCACGAACCGTGTGAGGGGTGCACTAGGATCGGGCGACGCTGCCATGTGGACCCTGCCGATGGGGTCTTCGGCTCGAGCTTCCCATGGGGCCACGAACCGCGTAGGGGGGCGCCAGAATGGGGGGGTGCCGCCATGTGGACACTGCCGCTGGGGCCTTCGGTGGAGCTCCACAGAGGGCCACGAATTCTTGCACTGTGTGCGCCGAAACACAGACATGCGGAGGGCAGGGGCAGGGAAGAGAGGAGGGAGAAGGAGAGGAGGGGGAGGAGGAGTGAGGAGGTGACGCGGGGCGCTCTCTCTTCAAAACGACCGCTGGCCCATGAAGAGCCGCCCTCGACGGAGGCAGACGAGGGCAGTCCCCAGGAGAATCAGAGTCGAGTCGAGTCCCCCAGACCTTCCATGGTGGGTCTGGGCTTGAATGCTGAGAGGGATCCGGTCGTGGCGATGAGGCCGTCCAGGGAGGACCGACAAGGACGAAAACATTGAAACTCTTTTGATCCTTGTCTCAAAACGCATCTCCTCTTCCCCCTCCACGCTGTCTGCCCAAGAGAAATGAAGCGAGAGAGACACAGAGACAGACAGACAGAGAGAGAGAGAGAGAGCGAAAACGACAGAGTCAGAGAGAGAGAGAGAAGGAGAGAGAGAAAGAGAGAGAGAGAGAGCTCCTGCGGGGCCCACGCCGTGAAAAAACGCCGCGCTAGAGGTCTGGGGCGGTGACCGCCGCAGGCAAGGCGGCACCAGCGTGGCGAGGTCGGGAGACAGATGCTTCCGGGCACACTAGGCACGCTTGGATCCACGCGCGCCTCATCGTCGACGCCGCCGCTGCCCTCGTCGCCGCCGTCATGGTCGTAGTCGTGGTCGTCGGCGAAGGTCGTCGTCGTTGTGGTCGCTATGATCGTCGTCATCGACGTCGTCGGCGCCGTCGGTGTATCCATCCTCCTTCTTCTCCTCCTCTCTGTTCCGTCCGCCTCCCCCTCCTCCTCCACCTCCCTCCCACCGCCCCTGCCCTCCTCCTTCTAATCCTCCCCCTCCTCCTATTCCTCCTCTTCCTCCTCCTCCTCCTCCAAATTACATCCTACCTCATCCCTCAACTATCCTTTCCCGATGCGTATATCGCTACATATATAAACACACACGTCACGCATTCGCAAGACGAGGCAATCATCTACGGGTAATTCCGCGGAAGCCCTCAACCGCGGGCCTTCAATGCCGCTGCTACGACCACTACCATCCCGTTACTGCGCGAGGTAACGACGCGCCCAGGCCATCCTGGTGGTGAGCGATATCGACACCTTGCCAGGATAACTAATGTAAGTGCAGACAAGCTTGGGTATGGGCGTGTTGCGAAACATTCGCTTAAATATCTGTATACATGCCCAAGGTGTCTTGGTTGCGACTCCTCATCCATCATCGTCATCGTCATCGTCACCGTCATCGTCATCATCATCATCATCATCATCATCATCATCATCATCATCATCATCAGCATCATCATCATCATCCTCATCATCATCATCATCATCATCATCATCATCATCAGCGACAGCATCATCATCATCGTCAGCAGCAACAGCATCAGCATCAGCATCAGCATCAGCATCAGCATCATCACCATCATCATCATCATCATCAGCATCATCATCATCATAATCAGCATCATCTTCCTCATCCTCATCCTCATCCTCCTCCTGATCATCATCATCAGCATCATCATCAGCATCATCATCAGCATCATCAGCATCAGCATCAGCATCATCATTATCATCATTATGCTATTCCTTGCTCCTCCTCCTCATCATCCTCCTCCTCCGCATCAGCATCATCAACACCACCATCATCATCAACATCATCATGATCATCATCATCAGCAGCATCAGCATCAGCATCAGCATCAGCATCAGCATCAGCATCAGCATCAAAATCAGCATCAGCATCAGCATCAGCATCAGCATCAGCATCATCATCATCATCATCATCATCATCATCATCATCATCATCATCATCATCATCATCATCATCATCATCATCATCATCATCATCATCTTCATCATCGACCTCGTCCTCGTCCTCATCCTCGACCTCATCCTCGTTCTCATCATCCTCTTCCCTCCTCCCTCCTCATTCTGCTCTTCCTGCTGTTCCTCCTCCTCCTGCTCCTCCTCCTCGTCCTCCTCCTCCTCCTCAGCCTCCTCCCCATCCTCCTCCCTCCTCCCTCCTCCCTCCTCCCTCCTCACTCCTCCCTCCTCCCTTCCCCTTCTCCCGCCTCCCGCCTCCCGTTAGTCGTAAGTAGTCCGTTGTTGGCGTCGCCATCGTCGTCATCGTCGTCGCCGTCGTGTCAACCACCAGCATCTGGAGCGTCTCGGATCGGCGGCACTGGCTGGAGGCCACTCAAATATCTGTATCCATGCCCAAGGTGTCTTGGTTGCCACAAAGACTCACACTTTGTTGCGCCCACAAGAATCGTCAATCAACTCGAAAAGCTTGCGATGCACATGGTTTCACGGCACCGGGGTTCACGCGATACACAGCTTGTTCACACCTAGATTTCAAGAGAAAACGAATATCTGTATGGATGTCACCCTCGTGTCTCCTCCTCTGCCTCCTCCCTCCCTCCCTACCTTCCTCCCTCCTCCTCCTCCTCCTCAACCTCTTCCGCCTCGTCCTCGTCATCGTCCTCCTCCTCCTTCTCCTCCTCCTTTTCCTTTTCCTCCTCCTCCTCCTCCTCCTTCATTCTCTCAGTTGCGTCGTCCCTCCTATACAATTATTTGTCCTATTCCTCCTTCCTCCGAGTGGGGGGGGCCCACCAACCCTTCCTCCCCGACCCCTTCCAGGGGACTCGGTGGGGCGCATCTGGGCGCTAATTTCGCGAGGACTTCCCATGAGAAACGGAAACTTGGGGCATGGAATTCCAGCCCGAACCCTCTGGAACTCCGTCGGGAGACTACCACCCAATAAGGCAGCGTCAGGACGGTCTCATTTCCTGTGGCGCTGTGGTCAGGATTACATGAGTTCACGAGAAAACTCCCTCTAAAAGGGAGGCGGGAACTTGAGACAGGAGGATACGTGCTGGGCTTACTCATGATCCTTCTCCCTCGTCTCTCTGCTTCCTCTGTTTCTCCCTCCCTTTACTATCCCCTCCTTCTGCATCCTCATTCTACCTCTTCCTCCTTCTATCTCATCTTTCCCGCCCTCCTTTTACATCAATCCGTTCCTCCTTCTACCCGCTCCTCCCCGTCATTCTCCCCAGCCTCATCCCCTGCCTCCCTCCCTGGGCCCCCAGGACTTCAGAACCGGCCCTGCGGAGGCAGAGCCTCGCACCGCGGGCTGCCGACGCGGCGCGTTAGCGCCGCACGCCTGGAAGCGCCGCCCCTCGAACACGGGGGGATACGCTTCACGATGGAGCCCAGTGAACCAGAATACGTGTAGCGAACAGCCCTTCAACGACGTATCGAAGAACTACCCCGCCAACCCTCACCCCATCCCTCCAGCCAACGCCAGCCAACCCTCACGGCCGACCCCTCTGACCACCCCTGAATACGTAGGATATCACATGCGATACAGCGATACAATTTCACCATCCAAGAAGGCGCACAACCTGGCCGAAGCCATCGTGGACCCAGGAATGCGTGCGCACGCCCCCCCCCAGCTTGGCCAAGAAGGCACTCGCACTGATCCTGGGCTCAAGAATGGCTCGGCTAGGATCGGTGTAGGCTTCTACTTGGAGCCTCGCGACGGCATCCCCGGGGGCTGGGTGACAAAACAATCCTCCTCCGAGACCTCCGACGTCGTGGCTTCAAGACATGCAACCCCGAGCCCTGGACTCCCTCCCCAAGACTTCTTTTCAATACTGACTCGGTTCTTGACGGCCCCCAGCCTGGAAACGGCTCCTGGAGGTTGAAAGTTACGAAACGTGCGGGGGGATTTTTTTTTGCGCGAACCCACGTCTAGAAACGCTTCTCCCGAGCGAGGCCTCCAGAGGTCTACAGAAGTCGCCAGATGTCCTCCGAAGATCCCCAAAACCAAAAGAGACCCACAAACGTCCGCCAAACACCTCGACCCCTACTCTTCCCCTTTCCTCCTCACCCTCCCTCTCTCTCCACCCCCCAGGGGAAACCTGGCTGCGTGGCAGAACCTCGCCAGACCGTGAACCCTGGCGAACTTTGGATTTGCCTTTCTGTGGCGGCGCTGGGGGGCCCAACCGCTCAGCAAGCATACTGCGTGACGGACACTGCGCACGTGGTGCGGGGGCCCTGGGCAGAGCAGCGGCGCGGCGCCCGTCTCGGAGGCCGAGGGCACTGCGCGCGTGGGCGGCGGGCGCCGACGAACATGAAGCAGCTGCACGGATGCAGGACGGCTCCTGTTCGTTGCGGGGCCGTCGCTGGCTGCTCCCATGAACTTCCAGACCCCACCTGGCAACGTTCCTGAGAACTCCCGCCTGACTCGAGGGTACATTGGGCGATCGCGTTTCAAGAAGTGCGCTTCGCGCGGTGGGTAAGCATGCTTGTAGGGCCTAGGGCGGATCTTGGGACGGGAGGGCGTTGCAGCATCGTTGATAAATGTTGAGTTTGACATGGTCCTCCTCCTCCTCCTCCTTGTCGCTTCCCTCCCTCCCTCCTCCCTCCCTCCTGCTCTTCCTCCTCCCCTCGCCCCCCGCAGGGCCGCTCCGCTCAGAACACGAGGCAGGGCCCCCGGCCCCACAGGTTGATCGGCGTGTGGTGCACGAGGTACCAGATAAAGCGGCCTCTCGTCGCGTCGCGGGGGAGGGAGGAGGGAAGGAGGAACCCAGGCTAACCAGCGGATCGATCTGCTCAATTGCGGCGGTGCCCCTCAATCTCGGCCTCTGGGGGATGCCGTCCTCCCCTGCCAGCCCCCGTCCTCCCTGCGCCCGCCCTCCTCCGCTGACTGAGAAGGGGGAGGAGGGAGGGAGAAAGGAGGAGGATGCGGAGGAGGAGACGCCCATGGAATGGGAGATTTTAGAAGTGGTCCTGGTCCAGTGTGTCCCCAGCTTTTCGCGCCATGTAAAGCCCCTGGGACTGTCTGAGCCTCGTGAGGGGTGCTCTGGATGCCATCTGGGCATCCCTGGGAATCCTTGGGACACATCGGGCCAGGGGCACCTTTGGCAACACACCCGAGTGGAGGCGATTATCCCGAAGCAACACAAAATACCAGAAAACGCAAGCTGAACTGATAGATTTGGCACGGCTGCCCACTACTACAGTAGAAGAATCACCCAGTCGTCCAGCCGACAGGCCACCCTTGCTGTTGCGTGGATAAAAAACACATACCCTACTTCGGAGTAGAAGCGCCGGCCCCTGTTCGTGCATCAAAGTGCCCAACCCAAGGCTTCCGTAATGTCACACGGTCGTGGAAACATGCGCTTTGGACCTCCAGGGGAAACTCCTCCGAGCTGGCTGGCCTGCGCTTCTCCGCAAGAGAGAAACGACAAATCCCAATCCCGAGAGCGGCCCCTGGAGCCGCTTGGGAAGAACCCGGAGGTCGGACCACCGCAACCCCAGCCAAGCGCGGGCCTCTGTGAAACACCGGAAAAAAACATGAGACACTCTGAAAAGAGAGCCCCACAAAAGGCGCCGGCGCTTTCTCTCTCTCTCTCTATATATATATAAGTATATATATATATATGTGCATCTCTCTCTCTCTTTATTGGATTGTTTGTTTGTCTTACTCCCTCTCTCTCTCTCTCTCTCTCTCTCTCTCTCTCTCTCTCTCTCTTCGTCGAGAGAGTGCGAGAGACAGAGAGACGGAGAGAGAAGTATGTATAGGTTAACTTCTACATTCGGTGGGGAACATTTTTGCTTCCACGTGCCACTCGTCTAGGCGAACCTCGAGAAGTCGAAAGTGAGCCTGGTAACTCAAATAGGGCATATAGCCTGGCAAATTGCATCCATCGCTCTGCTGTGAAGGTACAGTATGAGGGGTGGATGGGTAAGATAGGATAAGATCGATGTAATGATCTTTCCAGCACATAGCGAACACTCGCGGTGTCCGGGCAAATAGGGCGCGCGTGCCTTGAGCCCAAGGCAGCGGCGCGCGAGCTATGCTCCCGATACTGTAACATCTCCCAAAGAGCTACCCTTAAAGTCGGGAGGGGAGGAGACGGAGAGCATAGTCGCACGCAAAGATCGCGCGCACGACTGTTTGCAAAGAAAAGAAACAGTGCGTACAGTCTGGTCAAACACCAGACTGTAAGGCGAGTTTCCTCGCAAAGTATTTCACGCAAATACAGGACAGCCCCTTCAAATACTGAAGGGCTATCGGCTCAGTTAGAGGTAGGCCAAAATTAGGCCATACCTCACCAAGCAAACGTGTATTAAGGCAGAGAGCCTGAGTTGTACAAAGCCGGCTCGTTGCCAGGCGTGAAATATAAGGCTCGTTTCCGAGCAACTAGAGGGGCGCCTTTATAGTAGGCGCCCGTGCTGGCAAACTGGACCGCGGGGGCAACAAGGACAGGCTAAAATTGATTAGACTTAGGTTTGTCTCTGTCCTCGGGACCCCGAAAGGGAACAAATTGCTTCACGTCATACTTAAATGACTGAGTGCCTGACATCACTTCCAGAAGCAGCTCCCGATCGATGCTTCCCTTTGTATGCCCATCTGCGGTCATATCCCTAGTATCACACCATTGCACGTTATGTACTATACCTATATCCATGAGCTCACGTATCCAACTGATATGTCCAAGCAGAGTCCGTTCTGTAGGTATTTTGAGATCCCTGCTTGATAAAGATTTGTAGACGGACTCGGCGTCTATGGTAAGAGAGACTTTGATAGCAAGGCCTCCAACTTCACGCATGTCTCGTAGTTGTCGTGGAGTCAAAGCCCCTGCCTTAAGCTCGTGGAGAGTAATGAGCGTAGGGTAACACTCATCAAGGTTATGTGCGGCTGCAAGTGCCTCCGCAGCATAACTGGACCACACCTGTAATCGGTGTGATTTGCATAGTCCGTCACAAAGGTGAACGACGGACTTGCCTTGGGGCGAGTTTCCTCGCCGTAGTACGTTGGCCCCGCGTATGCCGTAGCCCTTGGTCTCGTCATCCTCCTCCCCGGTAAGCTTCCGATACCCCGAATCGCTATGGATGTCAACTTCATTCGTCGGCTTCATCCGAGGGAAGGTGATGCGTTTCGGACTGCTGATCAGCTTTCGCGTCACAGCATTCAAACGTCTGACTTGTAAATTGGTGGGCTCTTGAATTTTCTGAAGAGAGACCACATATACCATAAGCCAGATTTGGGTAAGAAGGGCATAGGCGAGGGCTCCTCGCAGGCTGACGAACATGTCGGCAATGAGTTTCGTGGCTTTGGCGTCGGCCGCCGCTCCTGTAAGTTCTGGGTGTGTGATAGGACGTAGTTGTTTGATATACTCGTCCTGGTCCATGATCACATCTCCCTGATCATTCTTAGTGTAGCGAACGGCGCAGTTCGTATATGTGTGCTTGTTAAGCTAGCATTTGCCAAAGACCTTTTCGACACGTTGTACATAGTCGTCTATATTTTTCTCTAGACCTGTCATGTTAATATCATCGACATGCTTTGCCGTCAGAAGATCTTGGCTGAATTCAAATTCAGGATCGTAGCTGGTCGGTGCAAGTCCTATAGCTCGTGTGGTCGTACGAAGTTTGAAAGAGAACGCTCTTGGAGCGTCCTTAGTACCCGTTCCTGGTTTGAGGCATCTAAGACAGTGTCGACTTTCGTCGTAGGATGAGAAGCCGGGTAAGGTACGAAGTACCTGAGCGCTTCCTGGTGGAAGAGTAAAGCAGACCATGCGAGTTTCCTCGCCGGTGGCATGGGCAAGTTCCTCATAGGTCAAACCTTTTAGGAACGCCTTATCGATATCCATGGATGCTAAGATCCACTCTGGATGACATGCCGCTTCACTTGCCAGGAGTCGTTGGGACTGCCTTCGGGCGGTTCCCGAGAATGTTTCCACATCAAAAGCCTCAGTATCCATAAATCCACGAAGGACCAGTCTGAGACGAATGGTGTTAACGTTCTCGGTACCCATCTTTACGAACTTCCACTTGTATACGTATCTGGATGTCATGATGTTGGAAGCTTTGGATAAATCGTACATCTCAAAGCATCGGTTATCAATCCAGATTTTGAGCTCAGTATATAAGGCTTCACTAACCTCCTTTGGATGTGCTGCTATGTCAGCTTTGGTCAGTAGATCATCTTCTTTGACGACCACAGCACGTTTAGCAGCAGAGGATACATACACTCTCATCGTTGCGACCATATCGGTATCGAGCTGTGCAAGTTGAGTCTGATCCAACACTATTTTTGGCATTTCTGATGTAAAGCATAGTTCAACGTAAGGACCGTATTCATCACTGTCTAGAGAGTAGCTCTCGTCGGTTGTGTTTGAACAAAGAGATACTAGACAGGACCCGCATGATTTCGGCTCGTCTCCGAGCATATCAGATGATGTAATATCATCTTCGTCCACAGATGCTGAAACCAAAACACATTGGTCGGGCAGCATAGTTGTTGGGACGCAATACAGATAATCATCGGTAATCGTCGTAGGATGAAGGTCCATACGTAGCTCGTCGTACCACTCTTCCAGCATCATAGCTTCGATATTGTGTTCCTCATTTTCCTCATAGATTGTCGACAAACGGCCTTCGCTCGGCGATGAAGCGTCTGGTGTGTCTGGAGAAGGCCTGTTTCCAGGCGACTCGCGTTCTCCAGACGTGTTGCTTGGATGCTGATATTTAGCCAAATCGTCGTGGAATCCTAAGGAAGGAACACGTGAAGTCAAGCATTGAATGAGTCTGGAGTGAGTGCTACCAGTGATCTGAGAAATGTTTAAGCCAGTGCCCACGCATTCGTAATAGTGAAACGCCGGGCTGATGTCGTTGTCGTAGTGGATCAGCGTAGACCCGGTGGCGTACTTTACTGCAGGTAGACTTGACACACTCTTAGCCAATCGAACTGCTACTACATGTTCTACTCGGAAGTAATTTCGTACGAGATACTGTAGTGCTAAGTGTACGCGCGGGTGAAACTTGCTGTCGTCTGACAGATTAAGGTTTCCCTTGTAATCGGGGATATACCCGAAAACTTTGGCAGGTTTCCCTGCGCTGAGGTGTGCCACATAAGCAAGGGCGGTTTGCATGGCCATATTATCCATGCCAAGTTCCCGTGCGAGGAGACATTCGATGTATAGTGTGTGACGAGCATCAGGATACATCACAATTACCTCACGAGATCCTGCCTTGACAACAATATGTCCTCTTTCAGGCACGTTTCGGATCACCGGGAATGGGCCGTTCCAGCCTCCATGGTCGCCCTTGGTGGCAGTAGGTCGGTGGTAGTCGACCAAATCCCCTGATGAGTAGAGGCGAGCACCATCAGGAGTCGTCTTAGCCCTAAGAGCCCGATTTGTCTTGGCTACAGCAGTAGCCTGAGTTATAGCTTCGAGGCTTACTTCCCTTACACGACGTTCTCGTTCGTGTCCTGAAGTCTCGGGTCCCTTGGGAAAGTCAAAGGGTATCGAGATCAGGAAGGAAGGAGGGCTGACGTCCTGTGTGTGCCTGATATGGCGATACTACGTTATAAAACGTAAACGCATTGGTAACGAAGATGCCTTCCGCCAATACTCTAGTGAATACAACGGGGATGTTGTGTCTATTCAATTCTTCCTCAATCATGTGGAGGACGCCTCTGAGAATGCCGTTTCGTGACTCAATTGAAGTCGCGTGTTGGCCAGGTGCACGGATA